TAAGGATAGCTATACAGGGAGTTGACTCACATTGATTTCCTGTGCGTGTGTGTTACCTTCTAGGTTAATTCTTTTTGATCTAACCTTTTCTCTAGTTCCTGGTCCCCTTCTCCTATTGGCCCCAGTTGCTTTAAAGTATCTGCTTTAGTTTCTCTGCTTTGAGGGCAACAAATGCTATCTGGTTTTTTGGGTGTCTTGCCTATCCTCACCCCTCCCTTGTGTGGTCTCGCTTTTATCATGTGCTCATAGTCCAATCCCCTTGTTGTGTTTGCCCTTGATCTAATGTCCACATATGAGGGAGAACATACAATTTTTGAGACAAAAACTCTTAAAACAAAACTCTTGGTAGGTGTGGGAGATACTGTGCATGCTAACCTTGCATGGGGCATGGCTACCTCTGCAATATCTATATTGCTACCTCTTAAATGTGCCTTCATAGCTTCATAGGACTAGCTATATGTCTTTTTTTTTTTTAAACCACCGCCCCCCCCCCCCCCCACACACACTTGAAGTTTGAGCTCAGGGCCTCTTGCTTTCTAGGCAACCGCTCTACTATTTCCTTCAGCCACACTTTCAACCCTTTTTTGCTCTGCTTATTTTTTTTCTGGCACTGGGGTTTGAACTTAGGGCCTCACACTTGTTGGGTAGATGCTCTTACTGCTTGAGCCACTTTGCCAGCCTTTTTGTTTTTTTTGAAATGGAGATGGGGTCTTGAGAACTATTTACCCAGGGCTGGCTTCGAACCGTGATTCTCCTGTTCTTTGCCTCCTGAGTAGCTAGGTCTATAGGCGTGAGACACTGGTGCTGGGCTGCTTTTGAGATAAGGCCTCACATTTTTGTCAGTGTTGACAGCAGCCCTCTTAAATGCACCTACCAAATACCTGGGATGACAGGCAAGTGCTACCATGACTTACTTGAGATGGGGATCTTACTTTTTTGCCCAGACTAGCCTTGAACTGCCATCCTTTCAATCTCTACCACCCAGGAGCTGGGATAAAGGTGTGAACCATTACACTTGTCCTTCAGCTATGCCATTTTTAGTCTAATTATAAAATTTGAGCAACTATCATTATTAAACCTTTTTACCAAGTTTGAGATTTCTGAATCCTGATTTTTTCATTGTTTCTAGACCTGTGGCATTCCCCAACTTAGTAATTGGAAGTCTCTTAATGCTTGTATACTAAAGGAAATAATGTATGCAAATATTTTATTCATTGTCAAATATTTTATTTGGTATCCACTGTGTGCCAGGTGCATTACAGGGGCTAGGAAATGAATGCTGGCCTGGTGACTTTGTCTTCACGGAGCTTTTGGTAGGGAAGGCACATCAAAACACAATGGTTGGGGGGACTGGAGGTGTGGCTCATGCGGTAAAGCGCTGCTTTGCAAGCGTGAAGACCTGAGTTCAAACTCCAGTCCCACCAAAAAAAAAAAAAAAAAAAAACCACAATGGTTGGGGTGGCTCACATGGTAGAGAGCCTGCCTACCAAGTGTGAGGCCCCAAGTTCAAACCCTAGTGCCACCAAAATAAGAGCCCTGAGGATTTTAAAATTTGATATATAAAATTGATTAATAAAAAGGATTTTCTGAGTAGTGCTGATTTTAAAACATCACTGTTCATATTGATTGGGCAGAAGTGATGTAAGTAGTATGGTGGTTTGTAAATACTCCTTGTTAAAGAAAGTTTGCATTGGATTCTAAAATGTGGCAAAGCAATCATTTTTTAACTGACTTTTGTATTCTCTGTAACCTTACCTAAAGTGTGCCCTGAAGATTTTGTTCAGAGCTGGAATTTTTATTTTGATGGCAAGGTAAAGAGCTATGGACTTAACGGAGCCAGTCACTGAATTTGAAGTGTCAGATTTTAAACAAATGGAAGGGCATTTATAACAGAGAGTTGCTCTTTTAATATATCTGCTTCATCCCAAAGAGATAGGAAAAAATTTTGGAGGAAAAAATTGCAGAGCATTGTTTTGGCAAGAGTAAGTATTTTCCACTACCACTTGCCCTAAGGGCATTGACACGCCCCATCAGGGAAATACTACTAGATGTGCTCATCGGAGTAGCACTGCCTTGCCTGCTCCTCAGGCACAAGAATGTGTCTGAAGTTCATAGAAGTGCTGGGGGTGGACTCAGTGGTAGAGTGTTTGCCTAACATGCACAAGGCCCTGGTTAAACTCCCAGCACTGCCTCCCCCTCCAAAAAAAAAAAAGGCAACACAAATCAAACTTGGGAGCCTTGCTTTCTAGGACAATCACCTGTTACAAAAGAATTGTCATGTTTTTCTTGGTTTTCTTTGAAAAGTATTAGAAGGATGTTTACTTTCATGAGTTTTTAACTCCTTAGTAGAACCCCATCAATTCTAAATGGAGTCAATTGCCACGAAAAAGAGTGAGGCAATCACAGATTGAGCTTCCTTAGGCAAAGCTACTTTTGCTTTTTGCCCTTAGTTGCTGTTCATAAAAAATGATGATGACAGCCAGCTGCTGGGGGCTGTTAAAATCCCAGCTACTCAGGAGGCAGAGACCAAGAAGACCCAGGTTCGAAGCCAGCCCAGGCAAATAGTTTGAGAGACCCTATCTAGAAAATACCTAACACAAAAAAATGGGCTGGTGGCGTGGCTCAAGGTGTAGGCCCTGAGTTCAAGCCACAGTACTGGCAGCAGCAGCAAAAACAAAAAAAACAAGAACTACAATTGAGCAAGGTGATGCGAAGGTTCTTCTAGCTAAGAAAATGCTCAGATCATAGCTGGTTTTAAGAGCTTTTTTTTGTGATACAGGAGTTTGAATTCAGGGCCTCACTCACACTTGCTATGCAGGTGCTCTACTACTTGAGCCACTCCACCAGTCCTTTCTTGTGTTGGGTGTTTTCGAGGTAGGGTCTCTCAATTTGCCTGGACTGGCTTGGAACCATAGTCCTTCTGATCTCAGCCTCCTGAATAGGTAGGATTACAGTCGAGCCACCATGCAGTTTACCTATCAACTTTAAATTGATTGCAGTTAGAATGGCATTTGTAACATGGAAGAAAAGTTGAGGATTGGTGCATGACTCAACTGGTAGAGCATTTGCCTAGCAAGTATAAGGCCCTGATTTCTAACCCAGTACTGGCAAAAAAAGAAGAAAATTTGAGAAGAATTTAAGGTCTTTTGGGGGGGGGGGGCGCCTGGGGTTTGAACTCAGGATGTCACACTTACAAAGCAGGTGTTCTACTTCTTGAGCCACACCTCCAGTCTATTTTGCTCTGGTTATTTTGGAGATGGGGTTCTGTGAACTATTTCTCCAGGCCACAGTCTTCCTGATCTCAGCCTCCCAAGTAACTAGGATTATAGGCGTAAGCCACAGGCACCCTGCTTAAGGTTAGATATTGAGGGCTTCCCAGGTCATTTATTCCTCTAGCATTTGCTATTTGAGGCATTCATTCCTCAATTGACCATTCATCTAATGGTCACCCATTAAATGTGTATCAATATACCTAGTACAGCAGAGATACTCCCTTTATATATTTAACTACATCTTTATGATGCTGTACATATACATATATAAGTATATATAATAGGTAATTTTCAACTGTATTACTTGGAAAATTTAGCCTTTGTATTTATTGCTGCAAAAGTACATTTTCTCAGCTGGGTATGGTAGTACGTGTTCCTGTAATACCAGCACTTCATAGGCAGAGGTAGGAGAATCATGAGTTTGAGTCCAGCCTAGGTTACTTAGTGAGTCACTGTCTCAAAACACCAAGGGCCAAGGATATATACCTCAGTGGTAGAGCACTTACTTGCCTGGCATGCATAAGGCCCTGGGTTGGATTCCCCAGCACTGCTGAAAGGGAGAGGGGGAAAGAGAAAGAAAAGGAAGGAAGATGATGTTTTTGTTTGTCAGATCCTCTGATTTTCCACTGAAACTAAGCAAAGTAAATGCCGGGACATTTCTTCTGCATCTTACTGTAGTTTGTC